TTGATAAAGGCCGATGCCATTGTTGCTCTGGGGAGAAGCTCGTTGTCGCTGTCTTGCTCACTTGTGAGATTCGCTGGGATCTTCAGATCGGCAATGAAGCTCCACAGAAAGATTACAAGAAAGCCATAGTGACATTTTTGTCCCCGCCGTGAGCACGACGCCCTCGAATGCAATTTTTTTTTATTTTTTATTGGATCATGGGGCAAATTTTTGTCTTCCTAAACTACTACAAAAATTTGTTCGGAGTTTAACATTATAACGCCCGGATGAATTTCATGCTGGGAGCCAAAATCATTATTTCTCTTCATTGAATGTTATTTTATTTTTAAAAAACTACAACGTTTATATTGAAGAATAACGGTTTTTTTTAAATAAATCAAATTTCTCATTTAGTTAGTATTGTTAGTTGATAGTTGATACCGTAAATTTTGATCACGAGTCACGACATCGGATGCTCTAACATCTCTTAAAATTTTAAAATACTTGCCAACATGATCAGATCTGAGCATGGAAAGCATCCCTTTCTGCCTTCAAACCGTCCAATTATGTTCCCTGTCCATTAGTGTTAACACTTGATTTCCAGCTAACTACTTCATTAGGCTCAACATGTATCACTGTTGACCCTTTTTGTGAGAGGAAGTTATTATTTTAAGCTTTTTAACTTCTCTAGAGTACTAATGATGAGATGAAAATGCCGCATATATACATACTTCTTTTTCTTTTTTTTCCTAGTAGCAATTATTCTCTTAGTAGAGACGGTTATGGTCAAGATATTATGGAATGTTAAATACAGACACATCTCTTATTGAGAATTTAAATTTTAATTCACCATGTTATCAAACACTGGCATTATCAAATTTTAATAGACTCAATCACATTAACTCCATATATGCATACTGTTAATTAGTTTGTGTAAGACAATAGCTCCCAAAAGGGGGGGGAAACAGTCAAGGAGACCTCGGAATGAAGAACCTTACCCACTGAATGATGGGTTAGTGATGAATCTTGATCTGTTCTAAAGAGCAGAATGAATTAACGGGATTAGATCTAATAGAAGAAGCTAATTCCCTATGATGTGATAAGTCAATTTTTGAATTTTTACAAAGAAAAGTATTCATATTTAATGTCTGACAGTATCTTAAATAAGATTACTTTTGACACCTTTGCCTATTTAAAAAAAAAAAAAAGAATGATGAATATTGGTTGGGGTTCATTGGCAAATCGCGAAGCTCAGGATGGGAGTGCGACTACGGAGGCAACACAAACGTGGCAGCGAACAAAAACTCCTCAATTATGCTCGAATGGACTGCTATTTGGCAAATCTAGTCACTTGAAAAAAATTTACACTTTTATAGGACAAAATTTACTGCTATTATATTAAACACTGGAGGCAGTATATTTATTTTGTATAGTGTAAAACTAATTAAAAATTTTATGAGACAAAAATATGTTTGTGGTGATTTCCAAATGAATCCTACGTACGTAGTTAGCTATTTATAAATGGGCTTCTCCTATCAAGCCTGTTTTGTGAGTCACTGTGGTCTTAAGTTCTTAATTGCGATGAACGAGTTTGTACGATCATTTCGACGAGGTCGTTGATTACTGTAACGTGCTATATATGATGGCAATTCAATGATAATCCAATACTGATGGGACTGATTAATCAATTGTACCAGGGGCATAAATCGCTGGCAAAAAGAAAAAGTATTAAGGAATTCCAAAATATTAAGAAAACGAAATAAATTATTTAATTAAAACATATGTTATATAATCTCTTTAAAATATTTATGTATTGTTAGATTACATATTTATAAGTAAAACAAATTAGTTTGGAGAAAAACAATAAATATAAGTATTTTAAAATAATTTATTTAATTTTTTATCTTTCCAAATTAATCAACAGCTGCCCAATTTCTAAACAGTCAATTAAATTATTTAATGCTATTATTTATTTGTATTTGTCGGAATTAATTAGCTGTATTATTCTAAAAATAATCCGAACTTTCTATTTTGCAGCAATCATACATGTTCAATTATATTCTATTTTGAGGTAAACTAATTTTAAACCTCACACATGGAATTTTATTTTTACATAAGTATATTGTAATTGATATGGTGGGATTGTTGTACCATTTTTTAAAGCTCTATATTATTTTGCTTTCTCTTGTTCTTCTCATAAGGTCTTATTAATTATTCTCATCATATTAAGAAAAATTTCCGTTTGATTAATATAACTCAATAAGGGGGGAGAGAGAGAGAGAGGAGAAATGACAAAAACAATTATTTTTAAAATAAAACTAAAAGATACAATTGTTTAAAATAATCATAAATATTTTATTAAATTACAATGGATCTTATACTACCTCCTGTTTTTTATATAAGAACTCATTTGATTTTTATTTTAGTCTTAAATATAAGATCTTAATTCACTTTGTCTCTCATATTTATCTATTTTTTCTCAAAGTAGTCGTTATAATAATAATAGTTCTAACTAATACACTTAATGAATAGGGATATTTTAGAAAAAGAAAATATTTATTTATTACAAATAATCAAATTAACTGATTTTTTAATCTATTTAAATTAACTAATTAGTTTTTACATTAAAAATCAGAAGTAGTATTAAATTCTACTGCTTCCGGTCCTAAATATAAGAGCTAGTTGACTAATTTGAGTATATTAATGAAATAAGTTAAGTTAATTATTTATAATAAAAAAATATTGTCTTTCCGAAAATATCATTTCCCATGGTAGTTCTTATAATAATAATAGTTCTAGCCAATACATCTAATAAATAAAGATATTTTAAAAAAAAATATTTATTTATTATAGATAACCAAATTAACTCATTTTTATACTTAAAAATAGGAGGGAGTATTAAATTGTACTAATTACATGGTATGGTAATGATCGTAGCTGGGCCCTCCCATGATGAACGCACCTTTCACTGTTTCAGGCACTACGCAAGGGGCTCGCAAAAAATGTGTTAATATACTGCCGACACTATTTCTCTCTCCAAACGGCCCCTTATTCTAAAGCAATAAGGAAATAAATAAAAGGTCAACAGGTTCCCATTTTGCCTCCACTGGCCAGTCACTCATCTTCCCGTTTTGTTATTGAGTATTCCACTTTTTTTCCTTCCACAACTCATCTACTTTTTATATTTCTTTAGAGAGTTTAAACTTACAATCTCACTTCAAAAAAATTTCAGAGAGAGTACTAATTGATGTCATTTGAGCTAAAGTGATACAAAATATTCATTCTAGTATAAAAATCTCTATGTCCATAAAAATTAATGTTAAAAAAATATAAAACTATAACAATAATACACAAACTTATATACAGTTCGCCAACTGTTTGGGTCTTTTATTTTTCCCTGAAAAATAAATACATATATAAATGCATTTAGGGGATTTAATAATGGAAATACTACCTCCGGTTCTTAATATAAGACCCTGTTTGACTTTTATTTTGGTCCTAAATATAAGACCCCAATCCACTTTGTCTCTCATATTTATACATTTTTTTCTAAAATAACATTTCTAACAATGATAGCTCTAGTCAATACACTTGATTAGCAAGGATATTTTAGGAAAGACAAAACCTATTTAGGACAAATAACTAACTCAACTTATTTTCTTAATCTTCTCAAATTAGTCAACTGGCTTTTGTAATTAGAATCGGACTCATAATAATTGTGTAGTACTCCTCCGGTCCTTATTATAAGACCCAATTTGACTTTTTATTTGGTCTTAATTATAAGACCCAATCCATTTTCTCTTTTATATTTATGCATTTTTTTCCAAGATAATCCTTCTAATAATGATAGTTTTAATTAATATACTTAATTAGCAAGGATATTTTAGGAATAACAACACTTATTTATTATAAATAACCAACTTAACTTACTTCCTTAATCTCCTCAAATAAGTCAATTGGGTCTTATAATTAGGACCGGAGGAGTATCATGTAGTGAAACTCATAATAATTGAAATAAATTGGTCAAGTCTATATATACATATATGATTGAGAATGGGGATGATGATATGGCAATATTCTTGTCCCCATAAATCCTTAGCTGTAACATTCCTCTGTCCACATTTGATTCGTGTGCTATGAAGTTTTGGTCGTCATTACATCACTTTTCTTTTAGTTTTGAATTTTATATATGTATGTATATACACAGCACCAACCAGCAATGAATATATAGTTTTTATATATATTTATATATAAAATATAATATAAACAAAGCATTATTAGGTAGTAATTGTAGGAAGTGAATTGTCAGCTTGTGACACCTAAGCCAATTGCATGTGCTTGCTCAATTTTGTATCCTTCTCTACTTTGTCTCGTTCAAGCCATCCTTCCTTGACTTTTTTTCTCCTACAAGAAGAAGAACAACAACTCGCCGCCCCCTTCATTGGCGCATGATTTGTATTCTTTTCCATTTTTAATTTGTTATTGCATGTGCTTTCATGTCTTTATTCTTCTCCCCTCATCTCCCCCCAAAATATCTTTTCTTATTTGAGTTATTGTAAATAATTTGAACCAATTTTTAATCACATATGTAATGTTTCTGTTTAATATTATTTACTATTACTATATCAAGATGTTAGATGAATGCTAGCTCTTTAATATGACAAACCAAAATTACATATAGTTAGTGTTCAATGCAACTCTTTTATAAGAAACATTTAATTAAATCGTATCGATAAAAAAATTAGTGAAAATTTATTAGAGACAATAAATATATAAAAATTATAAGTCTTTTTTTCCAAAAATATTGTTATTTTGACAAATAAGATGATAAATAGTATACTGAGTATAAGAATAAACAAGTTAAGGTGAAACAAATAAAAGCAGATGCCTCTCTCTTCCATCAATTCCCCAGCTCCCCACCCCACCTATCATTGTCATTTATGCATTAATTTTCAAAGCTCTGGTATTAATTGGACAAATAATTTGATGCGTTCCCCTTCTCGTGATGAGAAATATCAGTCTTCTCTTCTTTAGCTGGACATCACGCAAACATACACAGCCTTCTCTTCTCTCTCCTTCCCTCTCTCTCCTTCTTCATCTCATGTTTTTCAGAAAGCCTTCCCCAGTTCATCCGCCATGGACCTTCAAATCAGAGAGCTTCTCCAAACTCAAAGACTCCCACCATCCCATTCTCACTTCTAACTTAAGGTACACTCTTCTCCTTTCTCTCTTTCTTGCTTCCTGGCTCCTTCTCCTCTTCTGGTTCACGCCGTTCTCCTCCGCCACGACTCCCGCCGCCGCCTCCCATGCCACCAGAAAGCTACTACCCCCGCAAACTCATTGTGATGATGGCACTGTATCAGTTTATGTCTACAATTTACCTTCTCGCTTCAACCTCGGCCTCCTCACTCACTGTCAAAACCTCAACATATACACTAACATGTGCCCTCACGTAGCCAATCGCGGCCTCGGCCAGCCCATTCCTAATTACATGTCCCTCTCCTCCGCCGCCTGGTTCTCCACGCACCAGTTCATCGCCGAGATGATCATCCACGCGCGCGTGGAGAATCACCCTTGCCGCACGCGGGACCCAACCAAAGCTAACCTGTTCTACGTACCCTTTTACGGTGGGCTCCACGCTTCCAGCATGTTCCGCGAGGCCAACCACACTCTACGCGATGAACTAGCCGTTGATCTTGTCCGGTACCTACAAGATCGGCCCTCGTGGCAGAAGCACAATGGTAAGGACCATTTTCTTGCCCTGGGGAGAACCGCATGGGATTTCATGAGGTCAGAACATGGACCAGACTTTGGCGCCAACATCCTCCTCAACCTTCCACCTGTCCAAAACATGTCGGTGTTGACTGTGGAGAGGCAACCTTGGAAGGGGTCAAACCAGTATGGTATTCCTTACCCATCTTATTTTCATCCGACGACGGTTTCAGAACTGGAAAGATGGCAGACGATGATGACGGAATCGGAGCGACCTTATCTGTTTTCCTTCGTCGGTGGTCCGAGGAAAGGCTTGGAAAAGGCGGCGATCCGAGGGGAGATTCTCCGGCAGTGCGAGGAGTCAACACGGTGCAAACTCTTGAAATGCGGCGGCGGCGGAGGAATTAAGTGTCATGAACCAAGCGTGGTGCTTGACGTGATGACCAAGTCTCAGTTCTGCCTGCAGGCGCCGGGCGACTCGTTCACGCGGCGTTCGACGTTCGACTCGGTGCTGGCCGGCTGCATTCCGGTGTTCTTCTCGCCGCACACGGCGTACAGTCAGTACGCGTGGTATCTGCCGGCGGAGGAAAAAGAGACCTATTCGGTGTATATTGATGAGAAAGGAGAAGGAAGCAAGACGATAGAGAAGGAACTAATGAAGATTCCGAGCGAGAAAGTGAAGAGAATGCGTGAAACTGCGATAAAGATGATCCCGAGGCTGACATATGCTCATCCCAATGCAAGCGATGTTGGATTCAAAGACGCAGTTGATGTTGCACTGGTCCAACTCTCCAGGATTGTTCAGGCAAAAATTAACGCTGGATCTTAATGACAAGGTCAGAGATATAAATCAGTTCACCTCTTCTCCGTTATGTTGAATTTTGGTTCAAGCGCGTATAATGTAGAAAACATGAAGAAGGAGAAGACATGTCCGGAGTCCCCAAATAAAAATTCTTTTAAAATAACTTTCGAGAGATATATGATCTATCTCTATTACCCCAAATTCAATTCATTCTCTCAATTCTTCTCTATACAGATTATGCTGTGGTATGTAGCTATATATTTGGGATTTATTAACTCTAGGAAATATTTGTTATTCATTATTCCCCGAAATACTTGTTTGGACTTTGGAAGCATAATGCATGCTTCCATATAAGATTCGTTTTGATTGTGAATGTATTTAATTTTTTGATATCTGAGCACGTTAACTGGATTCCATTGTCAGCTGTTTCCATATATATGCAAGCAATAACACATCTGGCTTCTGAAAACTGTTCGGAATTGACAAAAAAATGTAAAATATTGGCTTTTCTTTTCATAACCAGATAAACTTCATATATTACATTAAAAAGGAGTAGTACGCTAACCCCGCGGGGTTAGGTCGACTAGCTGGGGTCGTCCTAGCTTAACCATGGATCTCGGATTCGAGACGTGAGAACGCAGCACTCCAAGGGGCCAGGGGGCGCCGTCCGTATGGATCCTTGCAAGCCCCCGAATCCGGATTAGTCTGGGGACGTTGTCACGACTGAAAGACGCCTATTTCCCTGAGATACCGGATGGAGTAATCCAAAAAAAAAAAAAGGAGTAGTACGCTTGATAAATGAAAATATAGCACAATTTAGTTTATTGAGGTGTAAATAATTTCGATGACAAAGAAGGTGGAAATAATGTCATGGTTATGATTGAACACATTATATAGTGAATTAAACGCAACAGGTTATTCCCAGCAGTACGATTTGGACTCACTTTAGAGTAATTGAGATCAACAAACAATTTTTTATAAATTTTTTTTTTACGAATCTTAGAAATATTTAATTCAATTGGCATAAATAAGTCATCCCCTCATAAGATCGATTATCTCAAGCCAGTGGATTATAGTCTTCCTTAATTAATGTATTCCTATATACAATACTATTGCTATTCTCTTGTAAAATTTCTTTAGTTCTAAATATAAAATCTATTTAAGAATTTTGATTTGGTTCAAAATATAAGGTTTCATTTTCTCCTATCCTGCATATTAGATTTTTCTTGATTGTAATACTCATTTATAGGGGTATTTTAATTTTTGCACGATAGATTTTAATTATAAAATGACAATATTCTTTTAGAAAAAGTGTTGAAAATTCTTTACATATTAGTTACAAATAACCAACTTTCTTATCTTGTTTTTTTTTTTTTCCAATTCTATGAATTAGTTAAAGAACTTTACATTTAAGATTGAATATAATAATGTTTTTAAAAAATTTTTGCGCGGTAGGTACAATTCAGAGTAGATGGAAGCTCAGTTGTTTGTAAGCAAGAATTGTAAGTTCTAACTTGTCTTTACGTTTCTTTATTGTGAGATAAAGAACAAAGTAAAGTGTCATAGTATGTGTCCTCTGCTTTGGTGTGTGTGAGAAGCTTGCGACAGAAAAGCAACCATAAAGATTATACCCCAATTCTTTTTTTTTTACCAGCAGATTATACTCCAATTCATAATGTGGGGGTCTAAATTGCAAGGAGTTTATATATTATCAATTTTTTTAAGGCCTTATCCATTGTTTTAGGCCAATCAAGCACGCTTTCCGATAGATAATCCAAAACTGTAATTGCGATGCAGAGGTCATTCAGCAAACTCTTTGAAGCGAAAAGGGCAAAGATGCGGATATCATATAACAACACTGCTACGGTACATGTATGTACTCATACTTGATAATGCTCGAAAATGGAAACGAATGTTCATATTTCATACAAAAATTCTGATCTGCTGGTCACTTTGATGGAAGAAAAAGAATATACGGATGAAGTTAACAAACACTGACCCAAACTGACAGGGACATGGTAACTACTGCTGTACAAAATGGAAAGAAAAATCATAGGACCAGCAAAGACAAGCAAATAGAAATTAAAATGATCACGTAATTTTAGATACACATTCATTCTTCTCCGTCATCTTTGTCTTTTTTGACCTGAACGTCATCTTTGTCTAAATGCTTGCTTTCTACAATAACACCATATTCCCAAATCTCAATATACCTTCTTCCTTTTGCATTGATGCATAGAAATTGCCCGTGTCGCCATCCATCTTTAAAATTTCCAAAGAAGGCATCCCCATTCTTTGTGTAGAAACGGCCTTCACCATTTGCCTTTCCCTTCCAAAAGTTTGCAAACCACCTATCCCGTGTGTGAAAATAAAACCAACCTTTGCCGTGCATGAGATCGTCCCTCCACGATCCTTGGAACACGTCGCCATTGATGAAATACAATGTGCCAGGACCTGATCTCTTACCATAGCGCCATGTACCATCATATATACTTCCATCTCTGAGGACAAGTCGCCCCTTCCCTTCAGGTAGACCTCCTTGGCATCGTCCCTTGTATTGACCTCCTCTATATTGCATTTCCACAAGTGGGATCCATTTTTTGGATGAATCACGTTCTGCTTCCAGCATGGATGCTGCTCGAACAGAAAGAACCCCTTGCTGGTTTGATTTGTCTGCATACTTTCCATTTAAAAGAGTAGATGTAAAATCCATCACTGCTTCCAGACCTGCATCAGTCAATGCACTCCAGGACATGCTTTTGTTAGGTACTTTGACATCGTTTTCAGTCGCTGGCTCTTGTGCCGCAGAGACTTCTGGACAGTCTTTTAACTGTTCTGAAGATCTGATACCAACAGGAAGGTTGAAGATGCTAATATTATCAGCTGTTGGAGTAGTAGCATCAGCTGCCCTTTGTTTGGCCCACTCCTGTGCAACCTCATATCCAGGACCAAGATTCCAATTTATGAGTTTCTCCCTTCGACAAGCAGAGTCGCCTGATATAATTTAAGTTTAATAGAAGGGGAGGAAAAAAACATTTATTCCCAGTGCAGAAATGCAAAACAATAAAATATTTCAGTGTCTCAAAGCCCTTATTTATTTATTTATTTATTTTTAGATTCTGGCCATCCAGTGTCTCTAAGTTACCTCTAGTAATTTCATCGTTAAGGCTGGAACACTCGGAACTTGTGTCAAATTGTTCTCCCTTGTTTTGTTCAGAACGCCTAAAATTGGCCAAAATGGCAGAGGAAAACAAAGATCCATTCATTTACAAGCACCATTAGAAGTTAACAAAAACAAAAAGAATAAGCAAACTAGAGAGAGAAGTAACCTTGATTCGTTTGACTTCACAGTTTTATTACCCACAGTTGGCTCCAGAGATTCAAAATCCTTATCAAACTTCTCATCTATCTCATCAGAAGCAATTCTATCCCCATCATTAAATTCATATAATTTAGTCACTTGAGAAGGAGCTATACTTCCAGTTAAATTCTCTTTCCTAGAGTCAGCTGGTTCATTTTGATGTCCCCCCCAAAAGCGGCAAAGAAGAGGAAAATGCTGGGCCAGTCTAGAAAGCATGCCACCACTCTGGGAACGCTGTTGCATATTAATGCTGCTAATCAAATGGAAGAAATCAAATCAACTTTGCCTAGTCAGAAACTTGGCAGCATAGACTACAGTACAGCAAAACAGCAACAGTTATGCCATTGATACACTTCATTAATCATTCCCATCAACATTATCAATAAATGACCAGCAGTGTCACAGGTTACAGTGATCAATGACCTAGCAGAAATGGTCAAAAAATTCATGTGCATTAAAAAAAAAATTAACTAACATACGGATTGGACAGACATCCAAGCAAAATTTAACATTAATAGTCCAGATAATGATAAACTCCACATCCTTTAAAGTCCCAACTTTAAGGTTTCTCAACAATGTCACCCAAGACTTCAATTTCAGAAAGCCAGCGCACTCACAGCTGATAGAATATGATCAAATTTAAAACTAAAGAACCATTAACTGTCCTAGATCATATTTTTCGATATCAAATTTGTAATAATAATCAAGAATTCAAATTCTTAGTGATTTGCCTCTTCAAATCCTAGTTTTATTCCTAAATCCTTAGTGATTTGTTAAATCAAAGTTTTCTGCTTCTGTATACATTCAATTAAAACTCTTGTGGATAGAGGCCTTCCATGGAGAAGTAACTGAAAATGAAGTTCAGCAATATACATTAAAACCACTAAGTAGTATACTTACCCCAGTGTAAGAACAGTGGTGATCAGCAGGTTTGGCTCAAGATTAGGCTCATGATCTGTAGTTATTATTATTTCCTTTGTGTATCCTGTTGTTTGACGGAAAGTATGCAGAAAGGCAGCGATATCATTGTCATTCATATGAACTGAACTTGTGAGATTGCATATAATCATGCCATTTGAGTCCTAAACAAAAAATATTGATCATAATAATCAACAAATTAATATATTACTAGAAGAAAGCATGCAGACAAAGATGAAATTAATATTTAGCATAGTTGCTGATAATGCATGGTGCCCAATTGACGAATAGACGCTCCTAGAGCCATGGGGCATGAATGGCACATTGCAACATTGAAGTGAGATGCACAAATTATTTAATTAAATCGCAATGAATTAACAGTAAGACAACACACACACACACACACACACACAGAGCAGAATCATACTTGAAATATGACTTCAACAATTAAATTATAATATTGTATGATACACCACTAAAATGATACGCTGAACAAATGGTAGGATGCAAAATGTCTACAAAAACTGATGGACTAGTCATGAAATGACTTTATTTGCACCAAGAATATTATAAGAAACACTACAATGGAAGGAACAACACCATTGAGTATCATCATGACTCATGACACATGAAGAAAATTTGCCACTTAATTCTGAGTTATACCTTCAAACTAACACCAAGGAAAGGACAATCAAATAAAGACTGTAGAATTGAAGTTTTCATGTTATATGCTGCTCCAAATCCAATTCTAGCTTCCTTATTGCTTTCAAATATCTGCAAACGGAAACAACAGAAAATATTGCTTAGTTCTAGAAAGGGGAAACAAGTAAAATTTAATGTTTGGTTCTGTTTCCGTTGTGTTACAATGCTAAAAACAAAGATACTAATTTGTATGGGAGTAAAGGCCTAAAATGATCTCAGAATCTTACTTTATTAATTTCCAAATTACTGACT